ACTTGTGATGCCGGTAACTCGAATGCTTATAACTCGAGTGGCATTTTTATCCAAAGGTATCCAAAATATAAAATACCTTGGTTGTGTGACTTGACATCCCCTGCTGGTCTGTTTTAGAGTAATGAAACTTTCGTCAAAACAGTACTGTTTAGAGTTATCAACCAGAAAACAATTATTTATGCGGCTTTCATGTACAGTGGAATCCCGCTCTACTGACACCCGCTCACTGACGGACATTTCTGTTTCTCCCATGGAAAATATTTTCTCCTGCATTAGCTTCCGTAGTACGCACATTGGTAAATTCCGACAAAATGAACTTTTCTATGACCTGCCTGACAAACTTTCATTAATTATAAATCTTGCCTAACATATGCGCACCATATCCGCGGAACATAACAAGTGAGTAATCTTAAATATATCTTTTTTAGTCACGACTATGGACTAATTGTACCCTATTAGGGTCCTATTACTCTAGAAGACAAAAGCTCGTGCGCTGTTTCCTTAGTCGCGTTTTACACAAGAGCACAGTTATTTCAGGCCTAGCTTTTTGACTTTTGAAACAAGCCGGTAGTTTCTTCAGTCCGAGCCTATTACCTTGTTACAGTGTCGGGGATGTTCGTTGACAGAGTAATTTGTCTAATTTTAATGCCGGACACAATGATAACACGCCGCACACGTTTTATCCTTTGGTGTCCTTATCAACCCAGGTACTTTCGAGTCAAGAAACCGGCAAAGAGATGAGTTTTATCGTCTTACTTGTGTTCACTAGAAGACCCAAAGGAAAACAAAAGAATCAACGAGCACTGATAAAAGCCCGGGATAAAAGCTCTTACACGTGCGCGTTACCGATCACGCCACTTGTCAGGAGACCTGAACAGGCCACCGGAACTAGCCATGCATGGCCGGAAGTCATCATTACAATAGGAGACACCCATAAAATCTCTCCTGTCTAATATACGACGCGTTAAAACGATGCTATTTAATCAACTGTACCGGCTAATTAAGCGATGTTTTCCGTAAATTAATATGCATCCAGGATTGTCAGTTCATATCCGCAAATGTTGACATTGGGCCGCCTAGCCTAAAGCCGAGCAGTAGTTGATTTCGTCAGTATTGTCAAGTTATCTTCGTTATCCAACAGATAATGGTTTCTTCGGATTGGGAATTGAGATTACTTATAATTAAGGCCAAAAAACCCCCATGGATTTTTGGTAAAGGAATGCGATATTTATAAAAGGAGTAGTGCGATATTTATATAAGTAATACACTTGCACCTAATTAAATTTAAATTGTTAACCACTCCAATCGTTCCGATGAATTGTGGCTATTGTTTTCTCTCCTAATAGAGTTCCACGCCGGTAGATCTAATAGGGACAGAAGACAAGCAGATTTAATTAAAAAGACGACGGAAGAGAAACGTACGGTGGACGCGATGCTTAAAATCAACGAACTCTTGTCGGACGGTAGATTAAAATTATGTCAATCAAAGGATCTGGCGAACCCTTGTGGTCGACCAGGCCCTCCCGGCCCACCTGGACC